GAAGATTTCTCGAATAAAAAAGCAAAAGTAGGTTTCAAAACTTATATATTTCTAAAATTATTTTAAAATATATAGTTTAATCTGAATGAAAATTCAAGTGAGGGGGTGCGTTGGTGGGGGGAGGGGCGTTTTCCCGTGACCCTCTTTAAAGGGCCCCCAACCCCCCCTTTCCCCCCACCTGTTTTAGATAAAAACAGTATTAAACAGTTTGCAGTCAGCTACCAGCTAATATATATTTTTCTAATTCTGTCATTTTAGTGGAAAAACAGGTTTTATTTGCAATATTTGCAATATTTGCAATCTTTGCAATCGATGCGAAAGTAGACTTTGGAATGCTTTTAACCCGACACTAATATAAATTAAAAATACAGCGGCAATTCGGGCTCTTCAAACTACAGGGTGAGTAAAAAAGTGTGAATAGCATCTTTTCTCGAAAAGGTTCTTCTTTTAATAATCCAGCCATTTAAAAAATCAAATCTAAAAAATAGTTTTCCAAATTAATGCCGACATATTCGACATATTCGACATATATTCGACTTTATTATTTCTAGGGGTGACCTGTTTTAATATTGCAATTCTTATTTCTCAAGAAATTTTGGTAAAATGACAGAAATAAAAATCTGAAAAAATCTCTCCACGGGCAGTCGTAGTACATTTGAATTTCCGAGCCGGGTCAACATTTACGGTCCTAGTTTGTACTGTACCTAGCTCTATGGACAGGACTAGCTGCAGGTACAACAAGGTTTACGCGGTCAAACTTTCTGCTTCATACAGGTTGAATTTACTTTCACTAAAGGGGCAGAGGCGCGTTACTCATATACAGGAAAAGGAGAATTTGAAAAGGGTAAATAAGACCGTATAAATCCGAAATTAGAAGTTTTAGGACTAAAAAGTAGAAAATGAAAAGATTAAGGTCCGCACACGTATGAGACAATCAAAAGAATCGAGTTTTTGCAACAAACTCAAATTTCCCAATTCTTATACCTTTGCAACCTAATAGTCTAAACCTTAGATTTTTCAAACTTGGATTATTTGTTCTAACAGAATTCATAGTTTGAAATATCAAAGGTCTCCGACATAAGCTTGCAGATATATAGGCTATAGAAAATCAGAGTGTGTGGCAAAAACTCAGTTCCTTTACCCGCGGTTACATTTTAGAAAATCAGAACATTTTTGTTCTTCTCAAAGAGGAGAGGGCCAAGAGTGGTTGGGAGAAGAGGTGTGGGGGGGGGGGGGTAATGCCTTGATATTTACCGTACATTTAGTAGTTGACTATTATTGACTTTGTATCTAAATGTATGTTGCATGTTCAACCCTTATCATACAATCATTTAAATATATATTGTGTATATATTTATGTAGAAATAAATATATATGCATGCATATTACATTTCATATTACATATAATATGTTAATATTACACGAATAATATGTTGAAATTTTTAATTTGTTTAAAACATTAAGTTTTTGGTTGGATTTAAGAGTATATTTCGATAAATCATGAAAAACTGTTATTATACATATATAGTTAAAAGAAACTTTGCAAAAAAACGATTAATTAATATGTTTTTTGTTGTTGTAAAAAGTACAAAAATAAGTCGTTAAAAAAAATAGTTTTTCGTTTTTAAACATCAATTTTTCCCCATGAAGTCCAATTATTTTTAAAAGTTAAAACAAAAAAAGGGGTTTGAATATCTAATATGGAAATAAAATAGTTTCCTATTTTCCTCTTAAAATTTGTTTTAAAAAAACTAAAAAATCTTTAGAAAAGTTATTTGCTTTGTTATGTTGAAATGTTGAAGAGAAAAATGCATATCCTAAAATGAAAATGAAAATGTAAATAATCACTTTTTTCCATTTTTACTTTTACGATATATATGTTGATACAACCTTATTTTTACCGAATAAAACTTCGACTATTTTATATATTTATTTACACAATTTGTATCTGATATTTTTCTTCCCAAGAAGAAAAACAATGAGTGACTCTCTCTATATATAAGTACGTAGTACAAACATCTATCTATATATAACATATATTTTAGTTTTTAACTTCACATTTTTATTAAATAAAGAATTATACTAAACATAATGTTTCACGTCTATCATGACGATCCTCAGTAGTTACAATTCTTTGATATATACCAGATATACCAGATATACCAGATATACCAGATATACCAGATATACTAGATATACCAGATATACCAGATATACCAGATATACCAGATAGTTACCAGACATGCAGATAGTTAATTTATACAGATAGAAATATACTTCAAACAAATAGTTTAAACATACAGATATACAAACTTTATAAATCTGTATATATCTAAACATATACTACGTACAGATAGTTAATACATACAAAAAGAAATGCAATACATAGAAACATCGTTAATATATACTGTACTTGTTTGGGAACCCAGCGCTGTCAAGGTTACTAACGTTTACCCGCACTCGAACGATTTTACCGGGAAACCAATTTTTCGCTATTAAAGTCGACCAACACACTTAGAATATTAAAACAAGCTAAGAACATTCCCGTGGGTCACCCGAGTTCCCCAATTAAAGTTAAGGCAAATCGGTTCACGGGTTCCTGAGTTACTTTTACATACAGATATACATTATATACAGATATACATTATATACAGATATACATTACATACAGATAGACATTACATACAGATAGAAATTACATACAGATATACATTACATACAGATAGATATTACATACAGATATATATCACATAGTTTCTTTCCTTTCATTTAAACCTTTCAATAACTATATACATTACATACAGATAGAAATTGCATACAGATAGACATTACATACAGATATATATTACATAGTTTCTTTCCTTTAATTTAAACCTTTCAATAACTATATACATTACATACAGATAGAAATTGCATACAAATAGACATTACATACAGATATGCATTACATACAGATAGACATTACATACAGATATACATTACATACAGATATACATTACATACAGATAGACATTACATACAGATAGAAATTACATACATATATACATTACATACAGATAGACATTACATACAGATAGAAATTACATACAGATAGACATTACATAACGATATACATTACATACAGAAAGCATACAGGCAGTAATAGAATTTTATCGCTTTGTACAATGTACAATGTGTACAATTTTTCCAATGTTCATTTTACATTTTTTACGGAATATTTGTATGTACTTCTACTTTCTATGTTCTTCTTTTGTTTGTTTTTATTCTGTAAGAGGAAACACAAACACAAGTTCCATAACTTGTATGAGGTTACATCATACTATAGTTCAAACAGAAACGGTCAAGTATCTTAAAAAGCTCAGAAGGATTCATTTATCATAATCAACTGCATTTTAGATAGGCTACAGAAGTTTAAAGTTTATAAATATTTTTTTTATAGTTAAATGCATAATGTTGTTGATTAGGGATTGTATTACATGATATCTGTATGTTTTTTTTTAAAAAAGAGTGTATATTTCGCCCTCAGCCTTGTCAAAGTTTTCTCCATGCGATTTGAATTTAATCGCTTTTTGTTCTAATAATTCAACAATCTTAAAAGTAAAGAGTTTTCTTTTACATCTTTTTCATTTGATACGTATTTACCGATAAAAAAGTAAAAAGGAGAAAACAAATTGTGATCAAAAGTAACAGTTTGCAGGACCATGGATCGAAATGTGATATACTCCGCATAATTAATGAGATTTTTTCTGCATTTTTTTTTGCATTTTGCATTTTTCAAATTGCAACAAAATGTAAATCAAGATTTCTTCATATAAAGAACATTAATGATGAATAATACCAAAAACTAATTTAATTCAACTGAATAAAATGGATTTTCTTAAACCTGAACGTGAAATCCAAGTTCACAAAGTATAAGTATCAGAAAACTTCCATAAATTTGACCTTTCCCTCATGTCTTGACTTGAGTGCAATTTGAGGCAAGAAATGTAATATTTTTTGTGTAAAAAAATATTGTTAAATAATAATTAATTCGTTTTATTTGACAGATATCTTAATGTTTATATTGGATGAATTGCTGTTCTATTTATATAAGCCCTGAGAAATGTTTCAAGGCATTGATGCAGTTACAGCATAGATAAGTATTGATTAAGGTAGGCATACAGCCACATGACGTCACAATTTTCGTGGATTTTCTATTTTCAAAATTTGAACCTTGTTTTGGTTTGATTTAAGCACCCTGTGAAGGCTAGGCCCCGCCCCCTTGTTTATCGGTGTATTTGGCCTGGCTATCTGCTTGTTTATTTGTTCATAAACAGTTGTTTAGTAGTTTATGGTTGGTTGTATCCTAGCGGGATGCCGGGCTGGGACAATCTGTTTACTCGTAAAGTTCGGGACAGTACAACCTGTTTACTGCGGGAATCCGAGATTAAAGCATCGGCCTGACAAGCCAGTCGTCCTGGCCTGCGCTCCCCCACCTCCTCTCTGGCCAGGCTCCCCTCCCCCGGCCTGGCCTGGGCCTATTTAGGAGGAAGTTTACTAGCCAATACAAACATTGGCAGGGGTTGCTCGGGCCGCGCTGGCAGCCACACGGTTGGTTGTTTATCCCAGGCGATACAGCATCATTTAGGATGCCAGGCTCAGAGCTATGCTTGTATAGACCGAGGCTGCCTTCCCCTGCCCTCCTGACCTCTAGCCACCGTCTTAGCCAATCCCAGGAGCCGGCCTCGTGTCCCAGCCTGCCTTTACGGTTAGACATAACAAATAATATTTATTTAAATAAACAAATAAATATTAACAAAAATCAGCAAATTTTGTTTTCACGAAGGACAAATCCGCGAAAATTTGAAAAATTTGAAATGTTGATATTTACCGGGGGTGTCAGGGTGGGGTTGGGTCGCCTGGTTTATATATTGCCGATGCTTGGTGTTTCTCCGCAATCCTTGCAAGTTTAGAGGAGGCCGCTACTTCGGGNCCAATACACAACCAAATACCAGAACTAGGATATGCCAGTATCTAACAAGACGTTCGATAGACACCAACAATAACAACAACAATAATAACAACAACAACAACAACAACAATAACTTCTTCAGGAAAATTGGTTTAATTTGTAGAAAAATTAAATTTTTAATTTCCTAATCTAAACAGTTTTGAATAAGAATTATAGCAGTAGGTCTAAAAATTAAATTTGCAACTTCAGACTTTAAAAGAAGAAGGAGGACAACAGTTTGAAGAACGAATGAAGAAAGTTAGGAGAGAATGGTTACTAATATTAAAAATGGTTGAAGAAAGATTAAGTTCTGATGATTTTAATCGTAAGGAAAGATTTAAATATTGTAAAATCAGTAAATCTTGCAACAAACTAGACATACAAAAATGTATGTTATGTAGTGCTAAGAAACTTGTTTGGTTCCTATATCGACTGTAAAAACAAATCCGAACAGAATGAGTAAAATCTCATTAGCTTTTCTCAGTTTTAATATTCAACAGATTTTAATATAATTTCTTAAAACAGACAGATTAGGAAAACAGATAAAATAAGCCCCTGTGTTACCTATTCAGGTCCCCTCTGTGGTATTAAGAGAGTTCAGTTCTGAAATTTTCTAGAGGTTGTTAAAACAACAAGCTATTTTTTACTCGATATTTAAAAACAACAAAAATGTTATCAAAGATAATGGGGAAAAAGAAAAGGAAAGAACAGTGAAGGAGAGAGAAAAGTAAAGGGAAAATAGAATAATGTGGAAAGTAATAAATGCAAGGGACGGAAGGAAGGGGGAGAAAATAAAGGAGAAAAAAGAGGCAGGTGAAGCTAAAAATGAATGAAGAATGGAAAAATAAAGGAAAAAAGAGGCAAGTAAAGCTAAAAATGAATGAAGAAGGGAGAAAATAAAGGAGAAAAAAGAGGCAAGTGAAGCTAAAAATGAATGAAGAAGGGAGAAAATAAAGGAGAAAAAAGAGGCAGGTGAAGCTAAAAATGAATGAAGAAGGGAGAAAATAAAGGAGAAAAAAGAGGCAAGTGAAGCTAAAAATGAATGAAGAAGGGAAAAATAATGAAGAAAAAGAGGCAAGTGAAGTTAAAAATGAATGAAGAAGGGAAAAATAAAGGAAAAAAGAGGCAAGTAAAGCTAAAAATTAATGAAGAAGGGAAAAATAAAGGAGAAAAAAGAGGCAAGTTGAGCTTTTTTCTAAAAAGACCGATTTCGAAAGTTAAATAATGAAGATACCAAGGAATTGAGTCTTTGCCACAAACCCTGATTTTCTAATTCTTATATCTTCGAAATCCAATGTTGTAGACCTTGGATATTTCAAACTTTGAATTCTGTTTAAAAAATCTAAGTTTGAAAAATCAAGAGTCCCTAAGGTTGCCAAGATATAGGGATTAAAAAGGTTGAGTTTGTGGCAAAGACTCAATTCCTGTCCAATCTATATCTATATCATTATGCAACCTATATGATTTTAAAGTTCACTATTTAATCTAACAAAACTCATGTTTGAAATATCGAAAGTCTAACCTTCAGGTTGCAATGATATAACGAGTAGAAATTATAATTCGAGGAGATGAATCAGTTCTTTTTTAGTTAAAGAAATAAACTCAAACTATTGAGCTTTATTTTTAGAAAAATAAGAAAAAGTTATTAGGAGGAGGAGGGTTCAAAAGAAAATGTTCATTGTTCTGCAAATACTGCTAAATGGCGTAAGTCCATGATTCGGGTCTTTCATTTGAACAATATTGATATTAAAAAATTGCAATGTTTCATATTAAAACTATACAATATAAGTATTTTAGTAAAACAAACATTAAAACCCATAAAACAACTTTGATTTATAAACGGCGTGCGTAAATATGAAACGAAAGCTCTTTACATTTACAAATCTATTTTTTAAAAACACATTTTGAAATTTAGATTGCAAAAAATTAATGAAATATAATTTTTAACAGATTTTTATTTTTCAAGACTAAAAATAAAGAAAAGATTATACTTTTGCTTTTTAATTTTTTTTATAATTTTTCTTTACTTGAACTAAAGGGACTGTAAGCTTAATTTCAAGTGACTCTCCATGTAAAGATGGCAATGTCTGACTCACAACAGTACCCTCATAAGCCTTTTCTGATCAAGTATAAATTAATAGATTTAAAAACTAAAGATTTATAATTGTGGTTTATCTACATACCGTTGTTAATCAGGCATTACATTTACGTTCACAATTCCTTTAAATACCTACAAGATACTCCTTATAACGGTCCCCTAGCTCCCCATCCCCCCTTCTCCAGTCTTGGTTTGTATACGAAGTATATTGGTCCAGTATATTGGTCCAGTATATACTCCAGTATACGAGAACTATACACCGGGGATACAGCTTCGAATCCGGGTACCATACACACTACACAGCACCAGACAATACCATACACAGCACAATACAATATCATACACAGCACAATACAATATCATACACAGCACCACACTATACCATACAATACCATACACAGCACCATACACAACACTATACAATACCATACAATACCATACACAGCACCACACTATACCATACAATACCATACACATCACCATACAATACCATACACAGCACAATACAATACCATAAAACTACAATAATCAGCACCAAACAACACTATTCAATACCATACACAGCACCATACAACACCATACACAGCACTATACAACACCATACACAGCACCATACCCAGCACAATACAATACCATACAACACCATAAACAGCACCAAACAACACTATACAATACCATGCACAGCACAATACAACACCATACACAGCACTATACACAACACTATACAATACCATACACAGCACTATACTATACCATACACAGCACTATACACAACACTATACTATACCATGCACAGCACTATACAACACCATACAAAGCACCATACAATACCATACACAGCACCATACAACACCATACACAGCACCATACAATACCATACACAGCACCATACAAAACCATACACAGCACCATACAATACCATACACAGCACCATACAACACCATACACAGCACTATACAACACCATACAAAGCACCATACCCTGCACAATACAATACCATACAGCACACGTCAAACTAAAATAAATTACATGTAATATTAAAATGGAAATGTTTTCGATCATAACTTCTCTTAATGATTATCTATTAAGCAGAATAAAAATATATTTAATAATTCTATTATGTAATCGGATAGATTTAGTTCTTTCTTACTTGTAGTATATGTACAGTATACAATATACAGTATTCCATCCAAGGAACTAATGCAAGGAAAGTTTATTGCAGTTGTGTATACTCTGCGTACATATTGAAACCAGTTCTCTCTGGGGGGAATTTGTAAACAAGAATAGCTGCATCAGTGTTCGTCTGGTATCCGAGAAGGTTAAAAGCATTAAATTTTGATAATTTTAAAAACACACAAAATTGTTTCCTTTGACCCTTTCACAGATTATTTTTGTGAAAATTGATTCCAATGTCAGGCTGTGACATCCGTCTTGTGTTTACTTTTCCGCCCAATGACAGTATACTGCAGTACAAAAAATGCGCACACCTCTGAAATAACTTTCCTTGCATTAGTACCTTGATTCCATCTAGACAATTATGATATCTTTTCTCAGATGAAGGATAGACTAATAACATACCAACAAGTGCAAAAAAACTGAACTATTTCAGATATTTTCCAACCCAAACAGCCCAACAGCATTTTAACAAATAAAAACCGGTTTAGAGGAACGAAGTTGGAGCTCTGACTCATTCATCTGGCATGCTAGGTGAGTCTTTTAATTCTGAACAATCCCTTTCTGAAAAAAACTGAATATATTATCTAAAAAAGAGTTCTAGGACGGGATTTTATGAATTTGAGCTTGGTTGCTAAACCACCTCCCGTCGATTCAAATACTTATCTGTAGTTATCATCTATATGGAACATGGAATAATCCTGAATCCCCGATTCAATGTAGACGTGGTTGAACCGTCTCTAGACCTGGCTCAATTTTATTAAATTAGGTCCCTACAGTCTTTTAATATTTCTTAAACAACATTTTTTCCAGATTTAGATCAATAGAAAGTATATTTATTAGAGTGCGAGATACGAGTAAGATAACAATTTGAACTATCTTTTTAACTGGCGCAGTGCTCACTTTAATATAGTAATTATCATAGAATAAAGTTAATTTCATTGTAAACCTCTATAAAGAACAAAAAAATATGAAAGAAGTGTTTAAATTTGATAATTTCCTCAACATTTTTATTGTAACAGAAATATGTGCAAGTTACTTTTAGAGAAACCACAAAGGAAAATAATGTATTTTTAAATAGACAAATATAGATCAGACAGAGCTTGTAAGGGAAACGTTGCGAATCGATCATGTCCCTCTATAGATGGTGGGTCCCTTGAAATTAGGACTATACAGTTTTTGAAAGATTACAATGACAGAATACTATGATTTTATCAATTATAAAGATAAACAAATTTAAAGATTAAGATTGTCATGAAAATAAAAATAAACGATAAAAAGTCATAAATATTTTTTATCCAGGAGGACAAATGAGGATGCCCCTGGGGCCCCAGGGACCCCTGTTTCCCTCTCGAGGGTTCCCTTCTACACCCCTGGACCTGGAGTCCAACATGTTGAACTGGAGGGACTCCTTCATTAACAAGTACCAGGATACCATCAGAGATGTAAGTAAACACATGATACATCCAGACATCTATTAAAAGTATGCATCAATTTTCAAGATCGGATCAACTTGGCCTTTGGTCTAACTTCAAACCTTTAGACCTCAAAAGCCGTATCATTAGAATCCATTTTTATCCATTAAATGTAGGTTTTTTGTGATCATTATTCTATACATTTTTATCCATTAAATGTAGGTTTTTTTGTGATCACTATTCTATACATTTTTATCCATTAAATGTAGGTTTTTTGTGATCACTATTCTATACATTTTTATCAATTAAATGTAGGTTTTTTTGTGATCAATATTCTGTACATTTTTGTTGGACTATAGTTTCTAAGCTAAATTGTAACAACTATTTCTTAAGAATTTTGAATGTGAGATCAACAATTCAATATGTTTTATCCTGTATTTTATATCTGTGCTCAATTATATTCATTTTTTATAAAATCCAAAAGAACGATAATTAATATAAAGGACTTCAAAATAGAACTTTCTAAAACCCCGTCTACAAAAGTCTCCAAAGTATCCCCGCAGTAAATTTTACATTTTAGTTCACAAAATACCTTTTTTTGCCTCGAGATGTCTATTATTTGTCTTGTTATACGATCCCCAGAATCATGCACCGAATTCAACCCACCCCTAAATCATGTATTTTTAACTTTGATTGGTTTGTATGAATACCAAGAGACAGGGATAGATATTCTTGGGGAAATTCATTTTCAAACAGATGCATGATGATCATAAAAAAGTTTTAAAAACTAATTATTATTATTTTTTATTCATGATGAATATATTCCCCTGTTTTGTTGAATATCGTGCTGGTACAAGAAGGAAGATTAGAATCAAGAAAACTTGAAGAATACTTTGCGCATTTATCTAGGCATAATTCACTCATACAACCCATCATCAGTTAGATAGATAGATAGATATATAGATATATTATAGATAGATAAATAGATAGATAGATATATAGATAGATAGTTGAAAAAACCATGTTTATTAAATGAAGAGGAGTAATTCGAAATAATTTGTATTAATAAATACGAAAACTGAGAAACACAATCGAATGAATAGATAGATGTAAGGTGAATAAATATAAGAATAAATATATATATGAGCAGCTTTATACTAAACTAGGCTTTTAGGGCGCTTCGCGCTCATCTTCTTTTTCAACTTGTAATTGTGGCTTTATCTGTGAGCATCTTCTTTGTATACAGTTTAAAACAAAAACAAAAAAAAGTTTGCGGATTTCATAATATTTTTTCTCACATTTTCAAAATTTTACAAAAATAAAAAAAACTTTTCAGCACAAATTTTTAAAATTTGATCATTCATAAACCTTACCTGGGGTCACGTGATTTGGGTCCGATCGGTTCAACCGTTTTGACGTTTATTGGATACTGACAAGATAGTTTTCCAGTAAGAATAGTTTAATTAACCGGATTAACCGTCTGGTTGAGTTCCTGTGTTTAGTAAATCTCTGATTGGAAATAGAGTATTGTTTCTCCGAGTTCATCAGATCATCAAACTTCTACCAGATAAATGCAAACTCATCATACAACCTCGGAAGGACAATGCCAAATTAATGAAAAGAGAGCAGAGGACCGTAACACGAGAGGGGAGGGGGGGGGGGTGAATTTCCAAAATGATCTGAAGTTTCAGAAATCGGTCATCGAAACCTGAGACGAGGAAAAGCGAAGGAGATTTTGAAAAAAAAAGATTTCTTGAAGGGGGGAAAGAAATCATATTCATTTGAATTTTTATCTGAGTCACTGACGAACTAGAATTTATTTCAGAAAATTGACAAAGGCTGTCCATTTTCTCACTTTTTAAGGCAAAACTCAGTCGATCAACATTAAGATTTAAATTGTGGCGGCTAAAAGAGGGTCCGTGCAAAAATCTAGACTATGAACATTGAACAATTTTTATCCATGGTTGTGCTTTATTTGGAAACCTTGAAATTTTTTGATTATACATTTTCATCTTATTTCAGATCTTCAAAAATATATTAAAATGTATCTATTCATCTCTTTCCATCTAGAATAATGCTCGTATAATTTGCATGCGCGGTTCTCTACGTGCACTATGCAGTGTGCATTCCAAAATGCGCGGCAATTACTACCGACCCAACTATTGCATGATGAAGAATTCATATTTCTCTTAAAACCCCCCGATTGCATTCATAATTTAGAAAAAGGCAATTTATGAGACTTAAGAGCCAAATAGTTTGAAATTTACTTAATTTGTTTTCGATCAGATTCTTTTAATTTTTATTTTCAGTTTATTCCTTTTATTCTTTCCTAATAATGATAATAATAACAATAATAATGATAAAAATAATAATGATAATGATAATAATAATATACTAAACATTCTATTCCTTGTCCTTTTTCTCCCATTCTACCACCTTTATCTCTCCATTATCTCCATTCTACCACCTTTTTCTCTCCATTCTCTTCATTCTAACACCTTTTCTCTCCATTCTCTCCATTCTACCACCTTTATCTCTCCATTATCTCCATTCTACCACCTTTTTCTCTCCATTCTTACAATTCTATCACCTTTTCTCCCCACTCTACAACATTTTTTTTCTCCATTCTCCCCATTCTACCACCTGTTTCTCTCCATTCTTCCCATTCTATCACCTTTTCTCCCCACTCTACAACATTTTTCCTCTCCATTCTCCCCATTCTACCACTTGTTTCTCTCCATTCTTCCCATTCTATCACCTTTTCTCCCCACTCTACCACATTTTTCCTCTCCATTCTCCCCATTCTACCACCTTTTTTCTCCATTCTCCCATTCTACCACCTTTTCTCTCCATTCTCTCCATTCTTTTACCTTTTCTCTCCATTTTCCCATTCTATCACCTTTTCTCTCCATTCTCTCCGTTTTCCCACCTTTTCTCCCTTTTCTCCACCCTTCTCCTTCTAGTTTCTTTATTAAATTTATGTAATAATGGCTCAATCAAAGAGTGGCCACGGCTCATTCGGATCTATTTGTCTATCTATCTATCATGTTTAAATCTATCTATCTATCTATTTATCTTCCACGTACATATCCATCTATCTATCTATCTAACTATCCATCTATATGTCTATCTATCTATCTATATATTTTTCTAACTACCACACTTACTTTATGTCTATTAAAATATTTAATCCACATAAATATTTATACTTTTTACGAATTTTTATTTCAAAATTAGTTTTCTTACATCTCCATTTATTATGTTTGGAATCTAAAACTTTCTTTTTAAATTACTCTTCAAAAACCCACCAATTTAAACTTATTATTTGATCAATTATTATAATTTAATTCTATAATGATAGAATTATCAAAGGAGAGATATTCTTCTTTTGAGATGAGACAAAAAGAATAGAATGTATTGGACCGGGAGAACGCATTAGAACAGTTTTCTGATATCAGACTTTCTCACGTCAAACTACAGATTGAGATCTTATATGTTATATATATGTTATATATCGAGAATAATGCTTGATCTCCTCTTTTTCTTAATCTCCAGTTTAAAAAGTGCTTGTTCTCCTCTTGTTATTAATCTCCAGATTAATTAACCGATCGGGATTAAGGATATCCCATTCTAAAGTTTTCAGCTCAGAGGTCATAACTATATAACTCAGAATCAGCGGTAATCCACCACGCTTGATCAGCCGAACCTAGCAAGATTAGGATAATCTAGCTTATTACAATAATTCACGTCTTTTTAAATATTTAAAACTAAGTTTTAAAAACCAGTCTGTGGAATTAAGTTTTGTTTTAATTCACATGTTTAAACAAAGGAATAACTTAATTGGGACTATTCTATTCTAATATTGTTTCAATTCAAGTTGTTTCTTGAAACCTTTCATAAAAGAAAGAGACAATGAAAGAAATTAAATATTTTTAATGGGAGTTAATACGTTTTAGATTTTTCATTCTTTGCTGTAAAGGAAACCACATTTTCTTTTTGATAATCCTTTTTGCTGCTAGAATGACTACATTACATTTTAGATTGAAACCTTGAATTTTCAAAAACAGAAACTTCATTTTAAAATACAAGCAAGTTAGCTTTCTATAACTTTTGGATGAAAATCAGAGCTTAAGGAGTTGCCAGGTGCAAAGTGATCCGAGTAATTCCGCATGATAATCTATTTAACTTTACTTTAAACAACAAAGCTATAACAGATTTAAGAATTTACATAAATCTGTAAAAATTCGTACCAAGAATATAGGCTATCTAACTGTCAGTTCAGAACATCTCACGCCCCACCGGTGTACATTTGAATATCCAAGCTGGGCCAACCTTTTCAGTCCTACTTTGGACTGTACCGCCAATTTACAATTACTGAAGCGGCAGAGGAGCATGATCTAAGCCAACTTGGGTTCAATTATAATTTAGGGAACAGTCTGTTTAATTTCAGAAATATATTTACACAAATTCTTATTAAATATACGAAGTATGTTTAATGTTTGCTCAGTTATTAGTTTATGCAGTTTGTTTAGGTAAGCATATAAAGCATATAAAGCATATAAAGCTAATAAAGAATGCTGGCTGAACCAGTGTAGTTTGTTAATACATTAAATATTTAAAAACAGGCTTAACCTCTACCATAACTTTAATATGTCTATACACAGAACTTTGCATTAATATATACTTTGTCAAAAGATCAAAACTAATTTTTTTTATCTCTTTATGAAATGTGAGAATATATGATTTTGAAGGATTATGAATTATCCTCTCTGCGGCCAGATTTTTTAAATTGAACCGCGTTGGCTAAGTTATATTTGTCTCGCCATGTTTGTTAAATCTGGTATTAAATATACGTTTAATGGAAATGATGTTTATCCCCCTGAATAAATACATGAGCTGAGTGGGATCGAGAGAAGGGATTGAAATCTATTTATTCAAACTTTTGTAAATATTTGTCAGTTATTTGACCAGTTCTACTTCTACTCAATTCAAACCTTTCAAAACCTACCCCAACCCCAACTTTTAAAACCTACCCCCCATTCCCAACTATTCAAGCCCTACCCCCCATTCCCAACTTTTCAAAAACCAGCCTACTCCATCCCCAACTTTTCAAAACCTAACTACCCTCCAAACCTTTAAAAAACCTATAGCCTTGTCCCAACCTTTAAAAAACCTACAGCCTTGTCCCAACCTTTAAAAACGTACAGCCTTGTCCCAACTTTAAAAACCTACAGCCTTGTCCCAACCTTTCAAAACCTACAGCCTTGTCCCAACCTTTAAAAACCTACAGTCTTGTTCTAACCTTTAGAAACCTACAGCCTTGTCCCAACTTTAAAAACCTACACCCTTGTCCCAACTTTAAAAACCTACAGCCTTGTCCCAAACTTTCAAAACCTACAACCTTGTCCCAAGCTTTCAAAACCTACCCACCCTCAACCTTAAAAAATCTACATATATACAGCCTTTACCCAACCTTTAAAAACCCCTCACCCTCTTTTAAAACTAGTCTCTCAACCTTTGAAAAATGCCCCCATATAAATCTTTCTAAACCCCCCCCCCTCTCCCCACAAACTTTTTTTGTTGTTGTCTTTCTCCAATTTTTAAAAATTTATTTATTTTTAATTATTCAACTAGCATTCTTATCATTATCATGGTTTCTATGTACCGCTTGTAAATTTCTTCAAGAAAGTAAAAAAAAAATTGAAATTTTTTAGATTTTCTCCGCGCATTTTTCTGTCTCACCCTGTCCCCGACTGCTAAGCTGTTATTCCAAGTGGTGGATGTACTAAAAGTGCTAAAAACACTTGAAACAATTGAATTGTGTTGGCTGAGTAGTATGGATGGGGAAGGTTGAGGGAGAAAATCTGCCAAATTAACTTAGAAAATACAGAAAAAGCTGCAGGGTTGGGAGGAAGTGAGTTAGGAAGGGGGAGGGGGGGGGAGGAAATGAATTTGGAGTAATATTAATCATTGTGTAAATACTGTAAGGTTTTCTTTGAATTCTTAATCCTTAATATTTGTCAGTTTTGTTGGTAACATCTTTTTTTCAGGAAATAGAGATAGAAATATAGAGATATAGAGAGAGATAGAAAGATAGAAGGATAGAAAGAAAGATAGATACTAAGACGCTAAAATCAAATATTTATTAAAACTAGGAGACTCATAAACCTTGTTGGGAGTCAACTCTTTCATGTCAAATATCGTGATCTTGGAATGCATGGCATGATCTCCC